AGCGTGAACCCTTTGAGAAAGGGCTCGTCCCGGATGCGTGGACCGAAGCACGCCGGTGTTACAGCGCCGCTCTCCTCCACCTCCAGGGAGAAAGTGATCCGATCGAGGCGGTGACAAGCGTCGGTGTCGTTGATGGCGCGCGCACCGAGCCGACTGGCGACCGTGCCACGAGGGGCCGGGTCGACAGAAGCCAGACGCCGCCCGGGTTGGTTGGGTCTGCGCCGGTCTTCCATGGTCGGCTCGTCGCCTAAGCCGTCGACGATCGTCAGGACGGGGTTGCGCCGGGTCCGGGTGCAGCCGGAGTGCGCCTCGCTGGGTGGTGAAGATGCTGTGTTCTGATGATCGCCGGGTCCGCCAGCGCTGGCGGAGCCGGATCCCGCCGGCTCGGTGAGTTGGTTGAGGCAGTCTTGTTGCGCGTTGGCCGCATCGAGGAGGTCGTGCGCCCACTTCAGGCGGTCCATCAGCTCTTTGCCCGCGGGCTGATCCAGGCCGACTACAGCCGCCTGGGTGGTGTGCATGTTCTTCATGGGAGTCTCGTAGATGGGCGGGATGGCACCGAAGGCGCGGCCGATCGCTCCGCCCCGGGCTCGCACGTCGGCAACCCGGCTTGGCTCGGCCGCGACAGGCGTGAAGCCGTAGGCGGCGTTGCGCTCTAGCTAAGCAGAGTCCAGGCGACCTGCATGGCGGCGAGCGTCTCGGCCATGTCCAGCAGGCGCTGGCGGTCCTCCTCGAGCCAAGTCCGGGCCTCGGTGACGTTGGAGGCGTCGATGTCGGTGTCGATGGGGATGCGAAGGCTCTGCATCGTGGCACGCAACGGGTTGGGCGAGACGGCCCGATCCGCTGCGACCTTGGCTTCGGCGGTCTTCCTCGCCGGGCTCGACAAGGAAGAGGCGTCGATGCCGGTGACGAAAATCTCCACACGATGTCCACCACCCTAGCAGGAGCGCTGCTGTCGAGGGAGAGAGGGGAGTCAAAAAAGTCAAGTACCTCACTGGGGTACTCGTCGGCCGCCGGCGCATTGGAGATGCACAGCGCGTCGATGACGTCGTCCGCCAACATGACGGGCTCATCGGAGTCGGAGAGGAGCCCCGTCTGAAGCATGCTCCCGGCCAGGACCTCGAGTTACCCCATGGTGGGCGCCAACTGTCATGGTGGGCGCACGGCAGATGCCAATGGATGGCTAAAGAGAGGAGGAGGCTCGAGGGCACTGGTGGGCTCCAGAGGCGAGGTCGGCATGAGCGAGCGTGGGACACAAGACATACCCAGGTTCGGGGCTCTCTCAAGAGATAACACCCCTAATCATGCCGAGTGTGGATGATATACAATAGTACAGAGTTGCTCCTAGAGCTATATCGAGGAAGAAGGAAGGCAAACCAAGGTTTAGGCTGCTCCTTCTCCCTTCGTGTGTGGGTGGAGTGTTGCTAGCTATGGATATCTCTACTGTATGCTAGCTTAGTTGCTTTGTTGTCTGCGTGCTTCTTGCGCCCATATGCATGAGGGCTCCTAGGGGGTTTTATAGGTCAACCCCCCGGGGTACAATGGTAATGTTACAAGGCCGTAGGGTCGGGTTGTCAGCGTCTGGGAACTCGGAGCTGGGACCCGCCGGGTGTCAGGGCTCGCCGGGTTCTCCGGGCGCGGGCCCCGCATGCCTAGGGGCACTGTTCGCTGTCTTGTAGATCGTCAGGGAGTGGCCGGGTTGAGTCAGGTACAGTGGCGCTCTGTCAGGTCGCCGCTTGCTGGCGTCAGTAGTGACGACGGGTGCACTGTTGCCACGCCGGCCCCAGTCAGCGGGTAGGTGAGGGGCACTGTTGCCATGCTCCGGCTGACCAAAGGCATGGGTGGGGCATTGTTGCCTCAGTCATCGGTGGATGGAGACTCGTCTCATTGTACGGCCTGGATGGGACGGGAGCTGACCCGTGGCTGGGTTGAGGAACACGCCAAGGATGGAGCTGGCTTGTTGGGGAAGTCTTGGTGTGTCGGGTTCGGCCGCCTTGAGCTGGCCATTGGGGCCGAGTTGAGGAGTACGACCGGGTTGGAGAGCCTGGCCGGGTTGAGTGACCCGGCCAAGCGTGAGCCGGCTTGAGGGGCGATGCTGGCCCGTTGTTTTTGAAAAGGATCCGAGTTCCGTTGCCTGCCCGGGGTTCATCCCCCTGACAGGATTATTAATAATAGGGCAATTAGCCTGCTAATTGGTTTTTGCTATTGCAAACGGTTATTGAGAAAATACCGTGGGCGATGATCTAAGGCAACGCACACAGTTTCTAGGAATAAACCGTGTCGGATCGATGAACAATCACACATGACATTCTCTTCAAAACTGTTTGCGTTAGGCCACCTTGCGCAAACGTTTACCGCATAAAAATTGTGTGTGATGGACATCCTTTGCCACACAGTTTCTTTTACGCACCGTCTGTGATGCATTCAATAACGCAAACGATAAACTTTTTAATATTGTGTGCGATGGGAACGCCATCACAAACGATTTAACGGTAAAAATTGTGTGTGATGTGCCTACAAACGGAAACGTTTTCCTTGCAGTGACTGTGTGAGATGTATATACGAATGGAAACGTTTCGCGGGGACTGACTGTGTGGGATGTACTTACGACCGGAAATGATTTCGCCTGTATAATTGTATATTTTTAAGCACTACTATACGTATAACCGTATTTGCTCGCTCGCCGGTCCCACACGACCTCATTTTGCCGAGTGTGTGTGCCAGGAGGGCATATCCCCAACGGTTTCTGGGTCGTGTGAGAAGGCCCCTCCAATCGCCCACACTCACTAGGCGACGATTCCAAATGCCATCGCGGAAAGGGGTTTAAAACCGTTTGTATAGCACCGGCACGTACCGGTGAATCCACTGGTGGCTCACATTTACCATCAACATACATCAGTCTACCACAATCAAAATAGAAGTGCGGATTTTTCTCGTAACTAAAATCATACTAAGTCCCAACCTTGTCTTGTGGTGAAGATCTCAAGTAAAAGCCTCCCACAAGAGGATCATACACCAAAACTTTTACCTTGACTCTTAGATGCTCCATCCTTGCCATGCCATTCTTCCACATCCACCTTTACCACCTCTGCAAGCTAGTTTCCTAGCGCATTCCCAAAGGCCCCACACCGGTTATACACTGGAAGACCTGTCACCCTAACCCACGTCTCTATCTTATCAAAAATCATCTTCAAAGGCCTCGTGTTACCATCATAATCATTCAACACCATAACATTGAAATCTAATTGCTAGGGAACATTGTATATAGGGCGTGCTTCCAATCACCCTCGCCGCATCACCCTTTCAAAAGCCTTGATATTGAGCGGTCGTGAAGAACAAATTTTGCCCAGAAACCACTTTGCCGTCTTTGGTAGATCTGATCCTGGCACTGAAAAGATGAGGCATTCAACTTCCTTATCCGTCAGCACAAGGCTTCCTAACCTTGCCGAGAGCCTGACCATTTCATTTGCCGATTTTCCCTCAGCCAACGACCTCGAGACGCTGTGCCCTCGTCCGCCTTCGCGTGACAATATAGCCTTCTTCATCGGAGTAGCCATCCCTCAACTTGCTTTCTCTGGCATGGCCAGGATGGAGGAGAAGCTTGTAGCTGATCAGTGACCAAGGAAGCATTGTCGCCACCTTGATCACCACCGAAGTAACACCACCCCTACGACAGGACCCTAACCCTATTGGCAACCTAGCGATCGCCAGCCGCCCGTCTTCTTCGTCGCCTGTTGTTGTATGTACTCTATGGTATTAGAGCCTAGAGTTTTTGAATTCAAGAACTGACCAATTCAAGTATGCTAGTTGGGTCTAGAATCAAAAATCTTGTGACTCTAATACCGAACCGAATTGCATGCATCAACAGATTCATAAAAAAAATCAAAGCAGTAAAGAAGGAAGGACTTTTTAGTAGAGACATGGGACGTTTTTTTTTCTCGAAAGCACGCAAATTGTGTGCCTTAGCTTTATAGAAGGTAGATGGTAAGTTAGAAGAAAGGCAGATCCGCTCCCACCATAACACGGTGAGAAGCGAAATAAACTCCATAGGAACGCACACATTACAACCACAAAGCAAAGAGCTTGTTCTAAATTGATCAACAGAGCCGCGTCTCGACTAACACCGAACCTCCAAAGAGCAACAACTTTAAAAAGGCCAATCGTTGTCAACGCACCAGCCACCCTAGAGTGCCTAAAGGAGGTAGCAGGTGGATGGCGAGACTCGGATAGCCTAAAAATGCCATCATCTTGGACACCCGCAATAGTGTACATAGCGTCCTTAAAGAACAAGATAGAACCGCGGTGAGCACAAAAAAACCATAAGTGGACCTCCAAGCCAACTCTCCAAAAAATGATGCTCCCAACAGAGGAGCGACGCTGAGGACGCCGTCTACACCGATCAATGACTGAATCTAGACATGAGAACGTTCTTTGCTCAAGATATACCGTATAGTGTATAAAGTATATTTTTGTTGCTATACATCTAAATAACCTAGTATAAAGTAGTATATTTTTGTTTCTATGCATCTAAATAACCTAGTGGTCCGGAGCAGTCTATCAGACTATCCAAATCCTATATAGAGGCTGTATTTTTCATCGAAGACGTAAATGAGATCTACGCGATCTTTCTCGGAAGACGCACATCATATGGTAGCACCACGAGGAATTTGCTGTAGGATTTTTTCGGTCCCTCCTTCCCCTTGCTCTAGACCTCGACCTCCCCGTGTCTTCCCCTCCCGTCGTCGCCGACCACCTCATCCACCGCCGTAGGCCAAACTTCGACCCAGTACAACTGAGCCGCAGCCGATACTCGCCTAGCGCCCGTCCGATCTCGTTGCCTCCAGGGAGCGCATGGGGCTACGCCGTTGAGGCTTGCCAGTGCCCCACGGTGGCGCGCGCCGAGGCCGTGGAAAGCAGAAGCAGCCGCGGAATCCGGAAGCCGATCCACGAGCCGCGAGGTATCCGCACTTCCTGAGTCGCAGCAGCGCGAGGAGGGGTGACAGATGGACGAGTTCGAGAGCGGCGATAAGGGAATCGCCGGCCCGGCCCCGGGCCCCGGCGCTGGCGACGACGGCAACTCGGCGCCGCTCCCTGAGACGGTATGGTATCTCCTGGCTGCCTCTACTTTAGATGTTCGTGGATGGTAGCGCCTAGGGTTCTACTTGCTTGATTAGACGCTGGAATTTGTGGATCGTGGATCGAATTTGGTAACCTCACTCGGAGGACGGTGAGATAGTTTGCTTGTGTAGTTATAAGTTGCTCTAGTGGCTGTGTGTCTACAATAAATTAGCTGGGATACCTCCTGCGCCGCTCCCTGAGACAATGACGCTGAAAATCTCTCTTAGGCTCAACCGCAAAAAAAGAAGAAGAGAAAATCTCTCTTAGGCTGCCATGATAAAAAATGGAGCACTGGGCGCAGTATTACAAAGATTATATCTCTTTATGTTGAGGATATATCCCCCCAAGGTGTGGATTAATCCTTAAACGATTAGAGTAGGATTCCTGTGTTTCCAAGTATAATGTTATAGTAGGATTGAAATGTCTGATCTAGGTTAGAGCTATGAGCGGTGAGAAGTGGCATCAAAAGAGCTGAAATTGTAACTACTGGTCCTACTTCATCAAACAGTTGCTAGGATCTTAGCCGAAAGAAGTGGATACATCTGTTTATTTTTTGGTCAACTGTCTGTTTCTCTTCTCGAAGTTTGAACATATACAAAAAGTACTGCCTCCGTTCCAAAATACTTGTCGTGGTTTTAGTTAAAATTTGAACTAAAACCACTTTGAACTTAAACCACGACAAGTATTTTGGTTGGAGGGAGTACTTGTTATGTAAATGTGGGACATCACTATGAGTTAATGTGGAGTTTGCATAGCTGCTGCCTGTTTTGCCAGTTCTTTGCATTTTTTTTGGTCACCTAGTGTGTCTAGGGTGCTGTGACTTTCTGTTTCATTATTGTCAGAAAATCCAACCTAAATACTGGCCATATATAATTATTATTTTTCTTTATACATAATGTTGTGCATGCAGTAGGCAACATGTTGGCTGGACATGCTGCCGAATGTACCATTTCTGGTGTGCACAGCCTGCATTCAGTGAATATTGTTTATGTTGATTAACATATGACCCCCTGTCCCGTTGCTGTTTGCTTTATAATGCTCCACTGTTGAGATGAGTTCCCTAGGCTTAAATTGCTGTTTTTTGCCATGTCCAGGAGTGGTCATTTGTCGATCTAACCTACTGGATCTGTGCCTTTGTCCATCTAGGTTTTGTGCATTTTTCAACCTTGTACGTTAGTTCTATAGTTTTGTGGCTGGTTTTTTCGACTCTGTTTTCATTATTTTGTTTCCTGTTTTTGTTAAATTTGCCTAGTTCAGTGTTACAGCTAAAATCTAGTTGCAATTCGAATTGGGTGCTGTGCTGTGCTGTGGTGAACCTATTGGTATTATGCAGGTGTAAGATATTTTTCTATGGCTGCAAGAATCTAAAAGAGGTTTCACTTTGTATATGCGCTATGTAGAGCCGCACTGTAGCTGCTACGAAATGGAAATATCAAATATATGGTTTGCTTGTAACAGTGACGCAATATTCACTTCAATCCTTTTATGCATCTACATTTCATTTTACATCATGTATAAAGGCCAGGGGCCGTCTGGGATGGGGGGGGGGGGTAGGGATGAAAATGGAGTGGAAAGTTTCCGCTTTTCCGGAGGGAAAATGGAAACGGAGGGGAAATATGAAAACGGAAACGGAAATTTGCAAAATGAAAATGGAAATGGAATTTTTTATGCGGAAACGGAAACAAAAACGGAATGGTGTTTTCTGGTGGAACACACGTGGAAATGGAACTTTCCGTTTCTGTTAATATGGAATTTTTGTTTCTGCTATAGGCCCATGGCTGCTTTGTAGCTCAACTACCAAACAATACACAATGACACAGCGAGTAAAATGAGCAGAATGTATTATTTGAGTACCAAGTTTTACTACCACACACATACTCAACTAGACCCTATACGGAATTGTCATGTACTACTACAACACTACCCTATTGTGCTAACACAACCATATTATTTTCTAGCCATGTTAACAATTCCATCAATTTGTTTGTTTTTTGTCTGTATTTCTCTATGATTCAAGGGGGTTTTAAGTTCCGGTCAACAAACAGATTTGTTTCCGTGTCCGCTCTGTATTCGCTCCGTGTTTGTTTCCGGTAGTATCAGTTTCCGTATTTGTTTTCGGGGTTTCTGTATTCGTTTCTGCTTCTGCAAAAAAAAAAAAAAAACAAATATGATAGCACCCAGTTCCGTTCGTTTTCGTGCCGTTTTCATCCCTAGGTGGGGGTGAGGGAGGCGCTTCTAAATCTGGAAAATAGTGTCACTCCTGCACATGTTATGTTTGTGATTGGAAGATAATCCTTTATTCATCTATTGGTTTAGGTGCAAATTGGAAATTCACCAACCTATAAGCTTGGAAGGAAGCTTGGAAAGGGTGGATTTGGACAAGTATATGTTGGTCGACGTGTTTCCTCTCCCAGTCTTGGTGATAGAAACCCTGGTGCAAATGCTTTGGAGGTCATTATATCTCTTGGAAGGTTTGACGTGTTGCTAGAACTGATGCCATCTGGTACTGAAGCATTTTTTATCTGTCAGGTTGCATTAAAGTTTGAACATCGAACCAGCAAAGGTTGCAATTATGGAGCTCCATCCGAGTGGCAGGTTTACAAGTGAGTAGTTGATTTTTTGTTCTGTTTCTCTTCGATGTATTTTTTTGGCAAGTTATTAGTTGGATATATTGTTCCTTCTTTTGCTTATGTTAAACCTACCTCTTGCAGCACTCTTAGTGGAAATCATGGTGTCCCACGGGTACATTACAAAGGAAAGCAGGGCGAGTTTTACATCATGGTAACGGATCATGTGCTGTTCATTCTCCGTACATAGTGGAACATTACCTAAAACAGTTCAATTGTACTTGTGTATGTGGGCCCTCTTTGGTATGGGGTCCTACAAGTTTGTGTGTTATAACTTCCAAACATCCACTCAGCCATTGTTTGGTGGAGATTTATTTTATTCCTTTCCTTAAGTAACTATCAACAAACTTGCTTTTATGCAATTCTATTTGGTGTTTATGCAGGTTATGGATATGTTGGGACCAAGCCTGTGGGATGTTTGGAATAATAATTCCCATTCGTGAGTATCTGCTCACTGTTTATAATTATCTTTCACAGTTCATATGCAACGTTTCAATTATATCCAGTTGTGGTATCTGTTGTAGGATGTCTGTTGAAATGGTTGCCTGTATAGCTATAGAAGCCATCTCCATACTGGAAAAGATGCACTCAAAAGGGTAATTTGGTGCTCCATTCTTCAGATGGGGTCTTGCATAGTGCTTGTGAATTTCTGGCTAACAATACAGTATATGACAGGTATGTCCACGGCGATGTGAAACCTGAGAACTTTCTGCTTGGTCCGTGTGGTACCCTGGAAGAGAAGAAACTTTTTCTTGTTGATCTTGGACTGGGTAATTCATAATCATATTCCACTTTTATATGACGTCTATTTGGTATAAAATATTTATGTTACTTATGTTAACCTATCATTTTGTACTAACGCAGCTACGAAATGGAAGGGTGCTGGTAACGGGCACATTGAATACGACCAGAGACCTGATGTATTTAGGTTCGGATGGAAATATATTTATGATGCACTTCATTTTGTGCACTCTTTGTAGTTGACATAATCTTTTACTTGTCTGCTCTTGTGAACAGGGGAACTGTTCGTTATGCTAGTGTGCATGCTCACTTGGGAAGAACTGGAAGTAGGAGAGATGACCTTGAATCCCTCGCATACACACTTATTTTTCTTCTCCGTGGCCGCCTACCTTGGCAAGGATACCAGGTTAATTTATTTTGGTGTTGGAGCTTCTTTTCTTCTTACTCCTGTTTCTATTTCTAAGTTTTCGTTTGTTCTTATTCAGGGAGACAACAAAGGTTTCCTTGTCAGCAAGAAAAAGATGTCCACCTCCCCAGAATCTCTGTGTGGCATTTGTCCACAGTCTTTTCGACACTTTGTTGAGTATGTTGTGAACTTGAAGTTTGACGAAGAACCCAATTATGCCAAGTGCATCTCTCTTTTTGATGGCATTGTTGGTCCACATCCAGATACCAGGCCAATAAACACAGATGGTGCTCAGAAAGTACATTTTCTGTTAACTTCAATTCTTACTACTTACCATTTTCATTAACTTTAAGGACTTATCCATGTCACCATTTGAAACATAATTACTTACCAAGAATTTCAGTTGTTTGTTCTTGTTGATTTTGTAGATTGGATTTACTCAGTTTTGGATCTTCCATTGAACTTTTTCCTGTCTATTTTATTTTTGTAGTATAAAATTTCAAATGTTGATTATGTACATAGGACTAAAACATCATGTTGTGCCATTATAGACCACATGAAGTCATTTGTATTTTAAAAGTTGGGACAGTGGTATTCCATGTATGAATATGTTGTGTCATGCATTGAATTTGTTTTGAACTGTTAAGTTGAGCAACGTATCCTATATATTTACAGTTTCCCGGTTGCATGTTGCAAGTCACCTCCTTTTATTTACTCCCTCCGTCCCACAATATAAGACGCTTTTGCAAGCTAACATAGCTTCAAAAATGCTGCCTAATACTTTATTGGATTGCTACCAGCTAATATATCAGGTCGGTCAGAAGCGGGGCCGTCTCATAGCAGAGGAAGATGATGAGCAACCTAAGAAGAAGATTAGAATGGGAATGCCAGCAACTCAGTGGATTAGTGTCTACAGTGCCCGGCGGCCTATGAAACAGAGGTTTGCTTGGCGCTTATCTTCTTTATAGTAGTAGTAAGGTCAAAAGAGAATTTTTCACTGTGTTACTACATTTATTTTCCAGGTACCACTATAATGTTGCAGATGATAGATTAGTGCAACATATTCTGAAAGGAAATGAAGATGGCTTGTTTATAAGTTCAGTTTCCTCTTCCGCAAACCTGTGGGCTTTAATAATGGATGCTGGCACCGGTTTTACTGCTCAAGTATATGAAATTTCTCAACATTTCCTTCACAAGGTGAGCAATTAGTTCAGGCCATCCTGCTTCCAGATGTATCTTTCTCTGTTTATCGTTGAGTAAAAATACTTACCAATTGTTCATGAGATCTTGTTTGCCATTCTTGTTGTATTGTGTTTTTATAGCTGTTAACTTGCTTGTACTATGTTAGGAATGGATCCTGGAGCAGTGGGAGAGAAATTACTATATCACTGCGTTAGCTGGTGCGAACAGTGGAAGTTCTTTAGTGATCATGTCAAGAGGTAATATTATTATTCAACTTGATAGCTGGACTGCCGCTTGCATGCTTGGTTCCCAGGTCACCATTCTGTGATCTGATGCTGACTACCAAGACTGATCTTTAAAATCTACTCCAACATACATATTTTGTTAAATTTCTGCTTTTGCCCGAAGTACGTTTAATAGGCCGTATAAGTGCCAATCTGGTTACATGGCAATGCATTTTAAAATGCCCTACAAGTTCAACCTTTTGGCATAACAAGCTATACACAAAGATTGCCACGGAACCATTTGGACACATACGGATATACCTTTTAGGGGTTGTTTGGATAAGTGAAACGTAGAGAATCCGTTCTATATAGAACAGAAAAACGATTTAGCAGACTAAATCATGTTTGGCTACTCTAACTAATCCATAGATATGCAAAACTGGATTCTCAGAAACCCGGAGTTTCGTGTTTGTAGAAAAACGACTATTAGTTGTTTTCTAAAAATGTGATTCACATATCTCTCTTGCTATTCCTTGTGGGCACGTTCATCAGCTGAACAAGAGAAGCTGCAGACACTTGTGACCGACGCCAGGCAGATGAAGACAGTCGCGACGAGCTCACCTCGAGGCCGTCCTCCTCTAGCCTCTGCTTTCTCTGTGCCGTCCGCCCTGGTCGTCACCGCCGCTGAGATCAACTCCTTGAGCATTAGCGTATGTGTGTTCCGCAGCCGGCGGATCAAATCGATCCAGTTGCTTGCCTTGGTAGCTAGCTTCTACATGCGCCTGTACGCGGCCGTCCGGCGAGATCGACCAGCCAGCTCTCCTGTACACGTACCTCAATGGAATGTCACGGGAGAATGAGAAGATCACGGGAGAAGACAAATAGTCTGAATCATTATCCAAATAAGGAACTGAACAAACACACTTCCAACCAAACCTAATCTTCTATAAACTGATTACTAACAGAAAATTTAGTAAAACTAGTTTTGCTAAAAATAATGTAAAAACACTAATGTTTGCTATCCAAACAACCACTTGGTGTTTCCCCTTTCTGCCCAAACAATGCTAGGTGAGGTGAGATGTGCCAATAATGATGCATTAGGCATTCAGAAAGTGTCACAGCTATATTTAGCCTTCAGCTCGCTGTATCTTATCAAAGTGGAAACAGTTGAATGTTGGAATATTGGCTCCTGTTATTTATGGACAAGAACTGACTTTAAGTATTATCTCCAGGAACAACGTATGCACAGCAATCCTACAAAGTAAGTGACGCATTTCCATTCAAATGGATAAACAAAAAGTGGAAGGAGGGCTTCTATGTCACATCCATGGCTACAGCTGGAAGTCGATGGGCAGTCGTCATGTCCCGAAATGCTGGTTTCTCAGACCAGGTACGTGCATTCTTCATTTACAAGCCTTTCAAAGTGCAATGAACTTTAGTTTCGGAATCAGTTTTATTGTGAAGTGAATCTTACAATAATTTTATTTTGAGGGGACTTCTAAAAGAATTTAAGATCTTTATGAATGTATACCTTGATTTGTGAGGATCTGAAGAAACCTTTTTCCGTTGCAGGTAGTGGAGCTAGATTTCTTATATCCAAGTGAGGGCATCCATCAACGATGGGATAATGGTTATCGCATCACTGCAACAGCTGCCACCTTGGACCAGGCTGCATTTATCTTGAGCATACCTAGGCGAAAGCCTAATGATGAAACACAGGAGACGCTAAGAACATCTGCTTTCCCGAGCCAGCATGTGAAGGTGACTTACCTTTCCTGCTTATACTGTACTCCCTCCGTTCCTAAATATAATCCCTTTTAGAGATTGCAATATGGACTACATGCAGAGCAAAATGAGTGAATCTACATATATACACCCATATGTAGTCCGTATTGAAATCTTTAAAAAGGCTTATATTTAGAAACAGATGGAGTATAAAGTCTAAATTCCAAATAAGAAATGTATTCACCAGCTGATCAATCTGCTTGCAGGAAAAATGGTCAAAAAATCTGTACTTAGCATCCATATGCTATGGAAGGGCGGCGTCTTGAAGCCCATTTACTTCAGTTGGCTCTTCGTAAGAGCTACTAATATGGATCTCCGGTTTCTATGATGAGAATGGGGGATTTTGAAGTGCTAACATTACTAATTTACTTACCCATAAACTAACAAAAGGCAAACCTGTGACAGACGACTTGGTTCTGCTTCGCGACTTTGTTGTGTGTAACTGTGAACTATCTATAGCATATAATTTTGTAAACAAAGAAATGTACTTAATTAAGTGTCATGTATATAAATTTAAGTCTGACTGTACCTTGAGATGACTGGATTGAAATGGCTCTGGAGAAATTGACTAATTTAGCTGTTCATGTTACTCTGGCCGGCTGCTGAGGAAAATTTTCTAGTGCCATACATTAATTTATTTTAGCATGGTACATTTTTATTTTGCCCAGAAAATGTTGCACCTTTCTTTCAATACCTTCACCTTACTGCCATGTGACTTCCTATAACCCTCTGCATTGGCCATTTGGTGACTTGTTAGTTCTTGTAGCTAGTTTTTATTAGATTGATGCCGTACAAACCCTAATTTTGGAACATTTTTTACAACCTTTGGACGTGCTTTTTAGGGCTTGATAGTTTTGTGCTACTTTTGCAACTGTCAGCTAAAATGTACTCTACAACTACAAGTGTTCAAAATATCTGAATAATTTAGCATGCGCACAAAACATACATGCACTATGTAACAAAAATTCATATCTGAAATAGACCTACAACTTTAGAAACATATCATTCTCGTCCGCCGCCACTTGCCCAATCCTCTTTGAATCCGGCGCCGGTGCCTCCCCGTTCCCCTTTTGAGTCCGCTGCCTCTCCAATCCCCTTTTGAGTCTGGCACCGGTGCCTCCCCTATCCCCTTCGAGTCCTTGTAGAGATCGGAGCAGTGGGCGGATCTCATAGATGGCCGGCGGCGCTTGAAATCCTGGGCGGAGCAAGAGCATACCGATGGTAATCAAATCCTTTACCTGGACGTGGACGTGAACCAAACAAACTTGAAAAAAACTCATTACACCCTCTTAAACACTGTGATCTGATTACGTTAACATTACCATTTCTGTTGCCAAAAACCTGCTTAGTGTGAGCACCATTCGGAACACCGGTAACACCGAACTAGTTTTGTGAGCACGTGAAGTCAGTGGCCGAGCTTCCGCCTCACGGGAGCCAAAGTGGGCTGCCCGTCGGCGCACCAACCTGGCCTTGCGACGGGAGCAAGGGCTGGTTCCTGCCACCGATCCCCTTCCGTTTTTCACTGTTTTGACCCATTTGCTGATGTTTAGCACGATACGATCCGTGTTTGAAAGTTTTTTTAGATCTGACCCATTTCGAGACGCCGTTAACCGTGGCGTCTTGCTTACACCGAAAACGCCGTGAACCATGACGTCTACCCCTGGCCCACCGCCTTGGTCAGCCCGTTTGGCCGTCCGACGTGGCAAAGGGGTAAACGCCATGGTCCTTGAAGTCTACCCTCGAAGATGTGTTGCCTGGGCAGCAAGTTTTAATCATTTGACCGTACCAAAACCAATCGCTAATAGCGCGATCAGGAAAATAAATAAAAGGCAGCCAGCTCTATGCCTTGTGGGCCTTCGCCTGTCACATGGCAACCATACTATTCCATGCGAATTAGCACAAGTATTGAAGTGCTGCACGCAGCCATGTAACGTGGTGCACGGCCAATTACAAATCTTGCTAGCTTTGCATGCACGTATTTCTCTCTTCTGGTAATTATTTCTCTTAGATCAATGTGTCAAACTTTAATCTATTTGCACCACTGTATTCTACACGGTGAACTCTACAAATAGAGTCCAATGTTGAATATATTTTCTCTTATGAATATTTTGCAATACGTGGGACCCGCACGTCATGTGAAGGGTCTCCTCACGTGAACCGAGTCTGGACTTTTTCTTGCATTTGGTTTTCTCACTCAAACCTCATGATCTCAGCAAAGCGAGTTCATTATTAACACATATAATTTTCATAGGGGCCCATATGCCATGGAGCACTGCCTTGTTAATATTCATATAGTATAGAAAAAAGGAAAACTATTGGTGCAACTACATGTCGGCTGCATTGGCACATGCAAAATTCATATATGAGGTTAACAAGGCAGTGCTCCATGACATATGGGCGTCTCGTAAGCATTGCATCATCATCATCATCATTATACGGGGTTAGTGAAGTTATTAACTCCAACATGTCAATTCACCGTTTTGTTGATTGGCGAATAAGCAAACCCCTCTCCCTTTCGATGTTGTGCACCAAGACTCGCGCCAAAACCTTGGACACTTTATTTCCCTTAGTGATATACGGGACTCGCCTAAATTGTTTCACTATCAAGCCTAAATATCAATCATAGTTCACTCTTCTATTTTAATTTTTGAAAAACTTTAGTTGGGGATGATTGCATGCACGCGATCATGCCCCCGGATGGAAGATAGCCTCGGGTGGGACCCCGCGGCTCGAGCATACGGGCTCCGGTCGGGCCGATTCCGGATCCGTTGGAAAGCCCTCGGAGAGTATAGGACCGTGGACGTGGACGCCGAGACGACCCGTGCATGAAGGCCGCGTGCTATGTTGCGCCAAATAGTGAAATGCCTGCTCGTCATGCGAGGCGGCGAACGGTCCACACGGGCCTACGGAGCTTCCAAAGGGTCCACTTCTTCGCGAGAGAATTCGTAGATGCCGCCTCGCCCCCTCCGTGAAGTTTGGGACGCTACCGAGGAATTTCAAAAAAAAAAAAACATCTTGTGGCACAGCTACCCCTCCGTGAGGTTTGGAGCACTGCCTTGTTAACCTCATATATGAATTTTGCATGTGCCAATGCAGCCGACATGTAGTTGCACGAATACTTTTCCTTTTTCTGTACTATATGAATATTAACAAGGCAGTGCTCCATGACATATGGGCCCCTATGAAAATTATATGTGTTAATGAACTCGCTTTGGTGAGATCATGAAATTTGAATGAGAAAACCAAATGCAAGAAAAAGTCCAGACTCGGTTCACGTTAGGAGACCCTTCACATGACGTGCGGGTCCCACGTATTGCAAAATATTCATAAGAGAAAATATATTCAATATTGGACTCTATTTGTAGAGTTCGTCGTGCAGAATACAATGGTGCAAATAGATTAAAGTTTGACACATTGATCTAAAAGAAATAATTACCAGAAGAGAGAAATACGTGCATGCAAAACTAGCAAGATTTGTAATTGGCGTGCACCACGTTACATGGCTGCCTGCAGCACTTCAATACTTGTGCTAATTCACATGGAATAGTATGGTTGTCATGTGACAGGCGAAGGCCCACAAGGCATAGAGTGCCTCTGATTTATTTTCCTCGTCGCGCTATTAGCGATTGGTTTTGGTACGGTCAAATGACTAAATATTGTTGCCAAGGGATAGAGCCAAGGACCATGGCGTTTACCCTTTTGCCACGTCGGACGGCCAAACGGACTGACAAGGGCGGTGGGCTAGGGAAAAGAATTCTATGAGACCAGGTCTCACGGGTTAGTAGGTGAGACCCATCCTGATGGATGACACGTGGCATTCACAAATCAGTGGAGGACAGATTAGATATTTTGTGATTTGTGAATGCCACGTGTCATTCATCAGGGCGGGTCTCACGTGCTTTATATGAGACCTGGTCTCATATAATTTTTTTCCGTGGGCCAGGGGTAAACACCGTGGTTCGCGGCGTCTTCGGTGCAAGCAAGACGCCACGGTTGATGGCGTCTCGAAATGGGTCAGATTCGAAAAAAAAAATTAAACACGGGTCAAATCGTGTTAAACTTCAGCAAATGGGTTAGAACAGTGAAAAAGCCCTCCGTTGGCACCCCTGCAATGAACGAGGACGAAGAAACTCTTATGGGTGTTTTTCTACTCCAGTTTGGCAAAGAAAGAACCAGGGAAGCGTCGCGCTGCGAAGGCGGGCTGGCAGGTAATGAAGGCGGAACGGCGGCCGCACAAAATTATTCATACTGCATTAACGAAATTGCTTCACGGACGACTGTCCTGCACGACCTCCCGAAGATATGCCGCCTTCCCACTGCGCTCCTGCGTGTGTGTGTGTATAGCAGGAGCTACATACACGACAAATGTGCGGCCCGTGCATGCACGATTCGTATCGTGGCAGCACGAACAGCAAGCGTACATGCAGGAGTCAAAAAGATAGACAGTCGTCCGTGAAGCAATCTCGATTTATTTACGATGGTTTGTGCAATTTTCTATTCGACTAAGAGCAAGTACTACAATAGTACTCCCTCCGTTCCAAAATATAGCGCGCCCATGTTTTTCGAGGTTCAACTTTGACCATAAATTTAACCCACGAGACCGACTGCGGCGGGATTAAAAATTATATAATTAAAAACTTTTTTTGAATACGAATTCATTGGTATAATTTTTTCGCCCGCCGCAGTCGGTCTTGTTGATTAAATTAATGGTCAAAATTGAAGCACGGAAACCGAGGACACGCTATATTTTGGAACGGAGGGAGTATCCAGTCAGCAGGTTATAAGAACTTTCACGTCATCAAAATCATAGCCGAAAGAGAGAGAAGGAAGAGAAAAGAAGCAAGCGGGCGCTTCAGTTATCGCCGGCTACAGCGCTGGAAACAAGAAATCCAAACCACATGCAGCCTGCATGCAGCCGGGTGAGCTAGCGCTTCATTCATTCCCGCCAATCAGCATGCGTCTCCTTCCCTCCTTTCACATGCACGCATTAAGTATTGATAGCTAGTTTACAGTCAGTCTACTATACTAACAGGCTATTACGAGACTACAAGTGACATGACGTACATATATAGCCGGCAGCAGGCTTTCTTATTAACCATGCTCTAAAAGGAAGTCATTGCCTGATTGCTTGAACTGACTGCTCACGACTTTCTGCAAGCCTATTCTAGCTGGACTGCTCACGACTTTCTGCAAGCCTATTCTAGCTGCTGCTGCTGCTGCTGCACAGAGTGTGAGGCGAATGGGCTACTCGGGTTGTAGCATTGAC